AATTTTATTATGTAGTGCATCAGATGAGACATATGCCATTGTATTACAGCCAAAAAACATAATATCGACAAAATTAGAATATCAACAAACTGAGGGATCCTTTTAAAACCTTTTTTAAACAGGATGATAAGATTATTAAAAAGATAGAAAACCTTTTCCTTAAGAACATGGAACAAATTTAAAATAAGTATAGGGGAATATCCATGCTGAAAATCTCACCATTAATCCCAATCTCAAAAACAGAAAGATTTACAGAAAATTTGAGAGGAAGTTTGAGAAAAGTATTGAGAAATTAACAAGTTCTTAGGTTAAACCATTGGATAAAGAAAATGTATAAGGAAAAGTTATTAGGAAAATGTATATGGTATTAGGAAAGAAAAATTCACTCGGTTTGATTGTATGCGATTAGAACAATGGACTGAACAATTGGTAAAGGAAAATGGCAAATGTAGAGGTATTGCTAAATTTGAAGATATTGTAGTTCAAAAGGAAAAACAAGGTAGAATGCAAACAAGAGGGATAATAAGTAAAATTTATAAGATAGTATTAGAAGTGTAGAATCAACGTGACCCTCTTAAGGCTTCATGGGAAATGGATTTAAGAAGTGACATAAGTAAGGAAGAGTGGGGAAAAGTGAGGGATAAGATAATGTTAAAATGTATGTTGATTAGAATAAAGGAAAACTTCTACAAATTAGTATGGAAATGGTATCTGACCCCAGTAAAATTATATTATATGGAAGTATCCTATTATCATTATCATTATATTTCTATACCACTCATAACCAAAGCTCTCTGGGTGGCTCTGAGTGGGATCCATCTGAAATAATAGAACACTATTATTTATTCTCTGTTTATTCAGCTCCAGTTGCTAAAGTTACAGCCCTCACCAGAATCTGCAACCTTGCTCCTCACAAGTCTTTTACTATCTGGCACTGATCCTTCTATGCTTAGGACAATTATAGCAACAAAGAGGATTTCTCACCTGAGGAAGAATTAACATCAATAGTAGTCTGTCTGTTGGTGGTTCATTAACTGCCTTGCCTTATTTTCTCCTGTTGATATTAAGTATATTGCTCCTCAAAACCTATCGATGTTAAATCTGCCAGAGCGCCACTCCTGTGTTTTTGTCTGTGCCCACTTGACCATCCTCCAAAATCAGAGCAAGAAGAAGATTCATGGAAGCCAATCTTTTACACGCTGACCTTCCTTTGGCATTTTCCGGATAGCCACTTGATCGTGCCAAAGGTTCTTTCTTCTCTTGCTTGTGTGCAGCGCATGTAAGCAAGCGTGGATGTGATTGGTAGGCTCCACATTTCCTTAACGTGGCTTAACAGTGCTCTCAGAGTAGCCCCATTTGCCAAGCTCACAGCATGGGCAAGCCTGCGTGTCCCTCACTTTGGGGACCATTTGTTATAGAAACATAGAAACAGAGTGAGTCAGAAGGAGCCTCCCAGGCCATCTAGTCTGACCCCTGGCTCCAGCCACGTGATCATGGCATCCACTCCGGAACAGAAATACTGGACGATCTGCACCTTTACTGTTATCGAGCCAGTTCATGTGACTCCCTGCCTTCTCTCCGGCAGCTTTTCACCTGAGTGATGTCCATTTGTTAGATGGTACCTTGTTGAACTGTTGTAAGGCACGAAGTGTGCTAAACCTTTTCACTGACAGGTTCAAGTTGTACTGCCTAGAGAACCAGTCGAACAGTGCCATCCAGTCCAACCTGGTGATTGGGTCCATGTGAAAGTTCAAGAGCAGAAAACATCATTACAGCCTTACTGGGAGAGCGTCTTCCAAGTTCTACTCACTACCAACTCTGTAGTGAATCATCAAGGCCTCCAGATGTAGGCCCACGCATTGCACTGCAAGAAGACCAGCACACCGAAGGAACTGGCTATACCTGATGGACCTAAGAGTTGAATTCATCAGTCCATTAGGCCACCTAGGACCAGAAGAACAATGTGTCTGGTTGTGTTGCCCACTGCTTCTGTCCTCACAATCTAGCCTTGTTTCAGACTTCTGCAGAATCAGGCCAAAGCACTGTGCTTGATCATATCTGTATTTTATTGTATCTGTTTTTATTACTGTTTTAGTTATTGTAAACTGCCCATAGAGCTTCAGCTACTGAGCAGTGTGGAAATAATAATAATGCTTCTTTGTCTGACTAAGCCTAGCAAGTTTCCATCCACTGGGCACGCACAGAAACTCAGGTCTTCCTAACCATAATCTTAATCCAGGTGAATTCCTTCTTCATTCAGAGCACATGCAGAAAAGTTGCACTCAGGAGGGTCAGGTTTTCCTAACCCCCAAAAGAACTTGAAGTTTTTGTGTTGCTACAGCAATTGTGCCTGACACTTACCCTCTGTCGAGGGAACTATTCGGGAGAGAACAAATGTCACATTTGGGATCTTTTTTAGTATGACCTGAATTCTAGTAAGCTTATGTGGCTAATGTCCCATGGTACTATTGGTGAAGCATTTGTCCGTAAGTGTGAAGAGTGTTGTAAAGACCAGAACACCCAAATCCAGAAAATACGAAAAAACAAGGTGGATGGTTTGTTTTAAAACTCATTAACTCTCCATTGTGCATATAGAGTAACCAAAAATATATCTGAACATCAGGCATTTTTTATTTTAATTAGAAGCCGTAAAGATAATGCTTTTGAAGTAAAGATGCAGAACACGAACACAAACAAACAATTTTTGAGCAACGGAGTTGCCTTTGCTGTTATTTTTCCACCCCATGTACAAGAATGCTCCTAATAAAAGGCTATTGTTTGACTGACTCTTGCCCACAAAATCTTACAATCCGTATAACAATTGATTTCAAACTTTATTCTCAGTTGTTGGGTGAGAGAGGAGTTTGCTCCACTCAGAACAGACTAAGATAACCTGTAGTAACTTCTATGGGAAAAAAATCAACAGATTTTTGGTTTATTTAATGTAAAAGGCAGGTGGGGTAGCTGAAATTCAGGGATATTGTTTACTTTGCATATACCATTTCCTCGAATGACTAGATTGTAGCTCTACTGATGCATAAATTACACAAGAACATGTGATCCTTGGAAATGAGTGAGCAGTGAGCCAGGAAACTGGGGAAGTGGGCCTTCGTGCTGTATTCTGTAGGTACAAATGCTGGAGAGGCTAGGGTGTCTGAAGCTGTCTGTGGTAGATGTGTGACAACAAAGGGAAGTTCTCAGGAAGTAGGAGTTGGTTCTTGAGAGGAGTTCTCAAGAACAGACACCAGGGATGGGCAAGGTCAGAGAAGGTGTTGCTGCCCCCTGGAGCCTGACGCGTCAAAGGAATGATCCTGCTAACAGCCATGCTAACAGGACAAACTAATGGTCTCTGCAAGAGCACTCCTTGGACCAGAAGATACATTGGAGTTCATCTCCAAGGTCACAGATAGAGCTATAACCTCAACAGGGGACACCCAAGTAGGAATTTCCTTTTCA